ATATATATATATATATATATATATATATATATATATATAGAGAGAGAGAGAGAGGAAACCAAATCAAGAGGACACATCAGTTGAGAGCAGAGATCAGATTACAAGAAACAAATACATGTGACCAAAATTTCAAACAGCAAGCATTGATTGAAAGAAGTTGTAGGTAGAGAGAGAGATATATATGATTGTGTGTACAAGAAAAAATAGTCGCATTCTCTCTCTCTCTCTCTCTCTCTCTCATCACTTGGAAGGAAAGAGAGAGGGAGAAAGTTGTAAGAAGAAATCCAAAAAAGCAAAAGCCCAAAACCCATGTCAGCAGATATGGGCGATTCTTCCAGGAATCAGAGTACTGGAGATACAAACAGCTGTAGGGGATCTCATCCTCTTCACCTTTTCCTTTTGCTTGTGCGATGAGCTGCTTGCTTGCTCTGCTGCTGCTTCTGGGGATTCTTCTGTCAAAATGAGAACTGAACCAAGGCTACACGCCAACTTCTGATAAAATTTTCACAGCCCCCTTTTCCACTAATGGCCAATAACAGAACTTCACTGTAGTTAATTTTGATTTCATACGATCAATTTAGGCATGAGAAAAGACAAGGGGTTGACATATAGATTCAATAATTTGGTCAAGCTTTAAGTCTGGAAAGCTGGAAGGATAGAGGTTTTTGCTGTAGAACAAGCACTGCCCCGGGAGAAGAGAAGAACACAATTTTTTAGGATCAATAAGATTCACACTCTTGAACTTACAATATCGTAGCAAGAATATACATGAACAGTTGCAAAAGCAGAGCCACAGAGAGGAAAACTACTGGTTTCCATTCAATACTGAGACATCAACGCAGCAAGGACTTCACACGACAATAAAAGAATCAAATGCTTATTAATTCCATAATGGATTAGTGTCTATCCTGTTCATATACATCAGCACTCTGTATTAACTTCCAATGGCTTTAAGCTTAAGCCATAGCGCACTTCATTTCCTCCTCAAATTTACATATAATCGAATGTTACAGTATCACCTATTGAATCTCATTCTGCATGGAGAAAATTACATCTCTATGATTTTCTTGATTAACAATAATTTCTAGAAAAAGGAAGCAAGGTAGTCTCTAAAAATAGGCAATCTCCTTGCCGCGTGTGTTGACTATAAAACAAAATGGTCAATCATGTGAAAGATCACATCTGCACCGTCTGAATTTATAGAGTATGCTTTCACCTGTAGAGAGATGCATAATACGTTTTAAGCATTAGAAGCATCAACCAGAGGCCCATTTCTGATAAAAATAAATAAATAATATGTACATACATAAGGTTCTTAAAGTCAAAACAGCAGCAAAGATGAACAAATCATACCAGTAGTTTTTTTTTTTTTTTTTTTTTTTTAT